CAAAAAATACATGGGTATCAATTTAAAATAGTAAATATATTTCAATAAACAAATAAATATTACGATTTTAAATTTAAAACGTATGAACGTTGAGATTTGTTAATTATTCTGATATAGCCTTTTGTTATTTTCCTCAACCATACCTATTAAAAGTATTAAATAATAATATTACTGCGATTAATATAAATAAATAACGGTTAAATTTATCTAGTATTTGTTTTAATTAGAGTGTATATCAAAATTGTTAATTACGATTCTGTTACGTAAAAAAAGGTAATGAAAGAAATTGCTAATTTGATTTTATTGGCAATGGTAGTACGGTTCATATTACCTTGACATCGTTAAATAGGTTATTTTTGGGTTTCCTGGTCTATTATTTAACTGGTTTAGTTTTTTCCTATTCCTGTTAAGATAATAAAACAACACTATTGACATAGTTGTTAGGCGATTTGCTGACGGGTCGTAGGTGTGATTCCCGCAAAAGCACATCAAATTTATTAGTTACTAGCTACTTCCACGCGGTTTCACACGCTCTGCTCAGCTCCTATTGGTTGTAGCGTGATATTTTGTAGCCTATAGCTATCCTCGATAAATGCACTATCTAACACAAAAAGAATTATTCAAATCAGACTCGTAGTTACGGAGATTAGCGCGTTCAAACAAACAAACAAAAAGACAAACTCTTCCGCTTTATATAATGGTATAAGATAGTAGATACTTATTTATATAATGCTAACTTCTTTCTGCCTCTCGACTTCGTGTTTTCTCGTAACCGTTCGTGATTTTCAGTAAAAAAAATGTATAATACCCGTCTCCTGGTTCTAATCTACCTCCCCACCAATTTCCATCCAAACTGATTTGTCCGTAATTGAGTTATGAATAGTGTAACAAATACAAATTTCTTTTATATGTATAGATAGATATAAAAATAAGGAAATAAATATGTACAACTTAAAATAAACTAATAGTTATGAAGAAAATTAAATAAAGGTGATCTAAAACTGACTATAAGATAGTAATGTATTACAGAGAGCATCAAAAAATTCGTCCGCATCGACATCAAAATCATCATGATCATCAACAGCCTATAAATACCCACTGCTGACCAAAGGCCTCTTCTTACACGGAGAACGTTTGACCAATAATCACCACGCTTGCTCAATGCGGGTTGGCGATTTCAAACTTATAATTAGAAATTATAAGCCCAGGTTTACTCACGATGTTTTCCTTCACCGTTAATCGTCAATATAGGTAGTTATTTATAATTATTTGTGTGACCCGCCTATTACTGTTATTGGTCTGAGTGCAATAGAGCATGTAGTATAGAAAATTGTGTTTATAAAACAAACCCAAATTAAAAAAAAATATCTTTAGCTTTGTTACGGGATTTATTCAAGGCATTATGATTGTTCATGTCCCTTGTACTCATCAGTATTCACTGTTGCATTGATTTTTTATGTATAATCAAAGGCTGCTGACCAAAGTCCTCTTCTCACAGGCAGAAGTTTGAGCATTAGTCACGTCACAACGCTTGCTCAATGTGGTGGTTTTTATTAATTCCTTCAGTAGTTTCAGTCCCTAAATACTTACTAATTTATGGGAGTCATTAATATCTAAATTGTACTTTGAATAGGTTTTTATTTTAATTAAAAATCTGATATTGGATATACATAATTAGGTATGTTGTTATTTACCTAATCACATCATTCGGTATTTAATTATATTGTCCTGTAGCTTAGAGGATTTTGAAATTGAATAAAATGTTGTAGATATCAAACCAACGTAGTTAATTAACTAAATTAGTAGGTATATTTACTATCGTAGTAAATAATTTAATACAGGTAAACAGATATACCTAAAGCCTTTTAATACATTCATTATCATCATTTACAGCCTATAAATGCCCACTGCTGACCAAAGGCCTCTTCTCACACGGAGAAGGTTTGAGCATTAATCACCATGCTCGCTCAATGCGGGTTGGCGATTTCAAACTTATAATTAGAAATTAAAAGCCCAGGTTACCTCACGATGTTTTTTTCGAATTATAGTAATAATTGAAAATAAAACGAAACTAATCCTATAAATTGTAATTCCAATTATAGTTTTGGAATTCCAGAGAAAAAAATTCCAATATTACAATTCAGAATGGAAATACCGAATTAATATATGGATTGCATAGAGTACCTATCGGCATCCGGTATCGTTTCCTTTGTATTCTGAATATTCTGATGTTCTGGTATCGTGTGAGAACTTTAATTCCCTTTGACCAATCAGAATTAGAGGATCAGTCTGCGGATATGTGAGGTGTTTGAGGAGAAATGCCGGTTTTCATGATGCGGGAGGCAATGCATCTCTAATAAAGCAGAGGGTGTTTTGAATTTTTTATTTGAATAGTCTTGTCTTATTTGGGTATTACAAGACAATTCATCTAATCAAATAATAATTATATTGTCGTGGTGTCCCGGAGGTTTAAAACGCCCGCTTCTCATGCATGAAGTTGCGTGTTTGAAACCTACCAACGGCAAATACCAATGTGACTTTTTCCGAGTTTATTAATTTCTAAAATGATCTACTTAGACACAACTGACAAATGGTGAAGGAAAACATCGTTTGGAAACCTGGGCTTATAATTTCTAATTATAAGTTTGTAATCGCCAACCCGCATTGAGCAAGCGTGGTGATTAATGCTTAAACCTTCTCCGTGTGAGAAGAGGCTTTGCTCAGCAGTGGGTACTTATGGACTGTTGATGATGATGACCTCTGAAGGTACCTTAATATTTTTTTATATATGATGGCAGTTCTATCAATATTGTTTTGTTGTCGTAACTATCTCTAGAATATATACTTAATATTTCTTTATCTTGATACATGACATGATACATGTATCTATTAGCTGACAATTTATCAGAAACCACTAAGTACGGGCATACCATTTCTCAATCACTTATTAGATAATTCGGTCAAACATACTAAATCTTGTAAAAATTGTAGGTACTTAGAACAAAAAATATTTGTATTTTTTTTTTTGTATTTTGCTACTTTGTATATTAACATATTAATTCTGTACCTACCTACTATGCAACAAATCGAACTGATCCAATGTTAAAAGTGTAAAATTGGCTTTTTCATTTAACAGTCTATAAGATAAAATAGTCTATCTAACACGCCTTTATATTTACCGGACAAATAATTATTATACTTGTATAAACTACGTTAAAAAAACCTACTTCAACCCCTCCATGTTTTGAAGTCGTTTTGTTAATAGGTAGGTATACTTCTCTTAAGTGTAAAAAAAAACTTTTCTGAAAACAGCAACAAAATCGGTTCATCTAATCGCGAGATAACCCCGCACAAACATACATACATACAGGTCAAACTGCGAACCTCCTTCTGTTTTTGAAGTCGGTTAAAAATATAATATCAATTCTACAAAAATCGACCCAATAGCCAGTAGTTCCCACTCATAAAATTATGCTAGAATTCCCAATAGGTTCAGTTATAACTTAATTAAAAGTATTGCTGCACCCAATAACGGCATAATAATAGTGGTTGAGTGTCATTTGTCAGGGGTCGAAGGGTGACAATTAAGTTTCCTTTGACACTTGTATTGATTATGTGATCAGCTAGCTCATGGTGAAATTGGATAATTTGGAATGTTAGAATTGAATTTTAAAATTGGGTAATGTATTCCATTCTCAGAGAAATAAAAATTGGAGTGACAAATTAAAATTGGGTAGTCTTTTCTGTCTATGACAAATTGCAAAATTTTTATAGGTAGGTACAGATGTTTTCTGTTAGGTATTTGGTGACTTTAAAATGTGTAATTTTAAAGAGGAGATAGAATAAAAACAGTAGAAGGTACCTAGTCATTTATAGAAAATCACATTTTGTATTAAAAACTTAGTTTTTTTAAACAAATTTCTTATCGTATTTTTTTTTTATCTTCTGTTACACATTGTGTCTCATGTTTTTATTACATTTTCTGTCTCAGGTCTACTGGAAGAAATTCCAACAGAAATAAGTAGCACCTATGTAGGTACTCTTACTTTATAAATGTGTTACCCTCTGTGCAGTTTGTGTGTACATAAATCATTAAATAAAGAAACAAATAAAAAATACAAATTACTTATTGTGCTTAATTTATTCGTTTTGAGAAACGTAAAATTAAAATCATAGAAATCTTTTTTAATCTGTCAATAATTTGAATCTAACTTAACCAAGTATTGCAATGAAATCAAAATCTTTCTTCTTGTTCTAAATATCAGATTATGAGAATAAAATAAAATTAGCTGGTATAAACTGTCAAACATCGCGAGGACACCGGTGACTGCAACCTATTGTTCTTTAATTGTGTCTATAATGACGGTACTCAATTGTTTAAAAAGGCCAAATACATGAAACACACAACAATGTACAGAAAATGAAATGAAAATGTCAAATAATAGATTTTTTTGTATGTTTCTTTGAGTATAAAAGTTTACTTGTCTGTATAAAATTGTTATGACAATGATTTTCAGCTTTGTTATAACATTTTTGTCAAAATCTGTACTACTGACAATATCTTCTATTTTAATCACATTTATTTCGTTTGAAACAGAAAAAAAACAGTTTTGTATGTAAACAATTACTTGCAACGTTCCTTTGTCAACATTTTTTTTAATTATTGTGGCATAAAGAACAATTTTAGCCTGTTTCACGTTATTTGTACATTATAAATGGTATTTTTAATATTTTGATACGTTCATTTTCAACCAAAATTAAGAACAAACATACAAAAAGAGTAAGGGCTCATTAAAAACTATTTTTGAAGCAATAATATTTTTTCCAAGACGGTCATATTAAAGGAGCTTTCTGCCCAATTTGAACACGCACATAAATTCAATTTCAACCACAATTAGGTACCTATTCTATAAAAATAATAATAAATTGATGACTAAGAACTAAAAAATCAAAACAAACATTTGTTTTGACATAACAAAAAATCCTTAGGTTTTTCCTACCTTTTGGAGTAACAACTCTGAAGGCGCTGTTAGAGACAGGTCTTGGAGATCCCTCCCGCAGCGAACCAGGTGAACCACTTCCATTCCTCACCATAGAGAAGTCCAGAGGCATAGGAGGCATCGCACTTACTTCCATTGTCAAAAAATTACGGCCTCAAACGCATAACACTAAAAATCTATGAACTAAACCCAAAATCCAAAAACCCAACTCAGATTAAATTTAGAAAACCGAATTTAAAAAATTCGAGTCCGATTTTGGGAAGGCGAGCGTGCGCCCGGCGCGGGTGGCGACAATGTTTTAAGGCAGACACACACTCGCGGCGCGCTCTCGCGGCTTTCTGTTCTGTAAAGCCGAAAATCTCTAGAATCTCCATAGTGATTTCGACCTTATCGCTTGAGCCGTTTTTCTGTGGGCGTGGTGTGGTAAGCCCCGCCTCGGGCGTCGCAAGCCGCCATGTGCCCCGAGTGACAATCACTTTGTGTAGGTAACACAATAATATGATTCGTGATGGATTTTATTGTGCTACCGATGCATTTGTACGCGAGCAATTTTTCGCTGGTGAAAAAATTCGCGTTCGCGCGTATAAGTAAATAGGTATGTGAATATTGATATGATGGAAATAAAAGTTGGTTGGTATTTGTAATTTGTTTACATTAAGTATGGAATTGGAATCGTATGGAATTCAATTTGAGTAAACGAAATGTAGTGTACATCCATTTATAAAAAAAAATGTTATAAAAATTCTCATCCACAAAAAAAAAAACATTTCAATCAAATAAAAAAAACATGAGAAAAATATTTAAAATAAGTACTTTATTTTACAATGCATATATAATCAATTGAGTACTTGCCAACTAGTCGAATTCAATACTTTTTACTATCAAAAACAACAGTTTTTTTTATGAATGTTGTACGAGATTGTGTATTGTGACTTCAAAATTGCTGGAAAAATATTAAAATCTAAAATTACGTTGATCATAAAATGAAAGTGTGATTATTTTTACATATTTCATTGTATTAAACAGTCGAAATAATTTATTTTTGATTAAGTAAAGTAGACAATTGTATGGAATTTCAATTTGAGTACAAAAAATGCAGTATCATTCCATTTATGACAAAAAAGGCCATAAAAAATTTCGTCTACAAAAAAAAAATTAAGTAAAAAAACATAAGAAAATTATTTTAAGTAGATACATTTTACAAAGAATATAAACAATTACAATGCTCATTTATATCACTCTATCACTCTTCTAGAGAGTGAAATGTGTATGTAAATAGGTTTTTTGTTCTCAATAACTAACAGAGACATGGTAACAAATCAACAATACATATATTGTGTAAGTACTTTACCTACCTTTTATATAATGGACAAGACATTATCACATAAAAAAAATATGTTACAAGACTCTAAACATTGTTAATTCATATACAAAGATATAGTACCTATTCAGAATGTTAACTAAAAAGTCAAACTCAAAACCATTTATGTATTTCAATAGGGTAGATGCCTAATTTTTATTTTAATGTCCGTCTGGTAGATTATTTTAAATCATTAGACACGTATTTTTTATTTTCTTACAGAAACGAATACTTTCGACGATATATTGATTTGAAATGTTGGTTGACGTCACTTCTATGAACATTTTATACGTAAAAATGACGTTTTAGCCCCCACTCCTAAACTTTGATTTCTTTTTTTTTTATATTATTGTTTTATTATACGACAAAATAAAAAAATACGTGGCTAATATTTTTTCGTTACCTACTTACGTACCAATTAGATTTTTAACTCGTCGAGTACCGTATTTATAGACACAATTAAAGAACAATAGGTTGCGGTCACCGGTGACCGCTTGGTGTTTGACAGTTTAATTTTCATACCCTGTTATCATCCCAATTACACCAGGAAGGCACTTTTGAATGTAAAACAAAAAATTTTAATGTGAAACTGTTTGCTCATTCCAAATTGTAGATTCCTATGGAGAATAACGAGCTAGAAACTATGGGATACTTTTTTTCAATCAGGTTCATAATACAATTCTCTAGTTAAATAGATTATAAAAAAATAAAGTCTTATTAAAAACCTAACCTAAAAAACAATGTCATTCTCAATTTTTTTTAAATTGATTCTTCTCTTTTTCCATATACCTACTCAAGATTTTTTTATTGTTACCCATGGTCGTCTCACAACACTTCCTTCAAAGACTTCCTTCTCCTTCCACTTATCTCTTTGTAGAGCTTTCCATGGCCAATCCTTTCAATAGGTGTCAAGATCATCCCGCTATCTTCTTCTGGACTGCTAAAATACTGAAGATTAACAAACAAAAAATAGGTACATTTAAAAATTGGGTACAAGGCATGTAGTCAAATTCAATACTTTTTTCGAACTGTAAAAAACGACAATTTTCTATGAATTTTGTGGTTTTTTTAGCGTCAAACTGCATACTTATTTCTTAAAAAAATGACTGGAAAAATACTAAAATTAAGTTGATCATGAAATCAATTAAAAAATGAAAGGGTGATTATTTTTTTTTAATATTTTATTGAATTGAACAGTCGAAATAATTTAATAATAAATTTAATAATTTTTATTCAGGAAAGTATACAATTAAACACCCTTATCAAAATAACTCCCCAAATAAAAAACAATCACCCCAGTACCCGAGAAAATCAGCATTCACAAAAACAAATGGCAATCGCGCCCGTTTTAATAACGCAGCGGGTTGGCATTCGTCAAAAGATGATATAATTATCTGTGGACAGACACTGTAAGCCTACTGTCACGATCCAACATTTAAAACAATGAAAGGTTCAATTTTTCACAGTGGGCCCCTGAATACGGGCCGCGCGGGCCCCCGGGCCGCTAATCCGAATGCCTACGCATACGTATTCTGATTGGTTGCGACTTTTTTTGTAAAAAATATTGTAAATATTGAATGTATGGACAAAACATGGCGTTTTATATTAAAGTTTTTTTCAGCACAGTAACAATGAGATAAAATTGTCATGATACTTTTGTAACGACTTGGTACTTTTGACCTGTTGGTACTTTTATTAATTTTGTTGAAAATAGTACTTTTAATTTCAATGTAATTATACCTAAATACTTATCTTTACTTAATTATGCATCATTAGATAAAGTTTATTCAAATTTGTATAACAGCCTGCTATCGATTAACACGTTAAACCCCATGGAGGTCCCAGTGACCAATGTTAGGTAACGGAGAATTAGCCATCAAGAGACTTCTGTTCTATCATCTTTAGTTATCTCAATAAGCCCTCATATCCATCATCATCATCAACAGCTTATAAATGCTCACTGCTGAGCAATGCCTCTTCTCACAGGGAGAAGGTTTTGAGCATTAATCAGCCCTTAAATTAGATTCTTGCAATTATCAAAAAAAATATGTATATACATATGTATATACCAGAAGATACTGTGATCATTAAAATTTTCTGTACAAAAAAAATCCTCAAACATTTTTCCTTGAATGAAATTATTATTTTAACAATGCCGGACAAAAGGGGCGCCGTAAATCCCAGAATAAGGAAACTGAGCTTGCTTTGCGAAAACTAATTACACCTCCTCTTCGCAATGATAAAGCAAAGCCCTCGTATAGGATATTTTTATTCGGGACAAAATGAAATTCCCAAACGTCCCATCCAATCCAAAATTCAACTTTGGTGCGGTAGTACTAAGGTCTATTTTTTAATGGCTGGTCCTTAGTTACGGGAAAATTTTTACTACGTACTCTGTGCAAAATAATCCTAGCATAATCTCACAGCTAAATCCCATTATTCTGATCATCCCCTCTGTTCTATTCGGGGAGTTAGGAATAAAGCGAAAAAATATAAAAATTGTAATCGTAATTCTGTCTTCAGACGTTTGATTTTGGGGATTTAGTCGTAAAAGTATGCGCGGTCAGAAATCAAAATTTATTAGCTCTGAACCTTTCAATGATTTCGGTTTTATATTAGTATTGGTTCTCTTTGATTTTATTTCTTATCTTGTCTATAAAATATTTTGCCTTTATTATCTGTAGGATCAAAGTGAACGATGACCTCTTTTGTGCTTTTTTTCCAGGTCAAAATCAAAATCATTTATTTTAATTAGACCAGAAAGACAGTTTTGAATGTTAACAAACAATTTAAAAGTGACGCTATTTAAGTACTCATTCCTATGGAGAAGCATGAGCAAGAAGCGCCGAATCGTTCACAATACAATTCTTTAGTTACATATCTTTATTATTTCTTTCGGTAATTTAGTTTATATGTTCATTATAAATACAGAAATACTACCTCCGTTCTCATACAGTAAAATATTCAAATTATTTTTAATTACCAACATAAGATTTTAACGATGAACCCTCCACAACCGCAGTTCATAAAATTTAGCGCAAACCATCAACCTGGCCTCCCAATCCTTTGCTCATTTTAATACGGTTTAAAATTCAAAATATTTGAGGGTCATTTACACAAATGGCTACTCAAAACCCAGTGTCAGATACTCTGAACAATTTTGTAGGGGTCTATAAAGACGAAGTGCTTATTAACCCTACCGTTTTTGAAGGGTAACTTGAGCGTTTTCCACCTGGACGCTGTGTTGCACTGTGTACGTATTACTGGCAGTATTTTTTTTCTGTATTTTAAATTTAGAATTGTATTGTAATTTATAAACTGTAAATGTCATTTTTATAAATTGTATTTTACAATTTTATTCTTGTATTTTTGACATCGTTTTTATGTGTGGCTTGGATGTATTGAAATACCATAAAAAATATCTATATCACGTATTCGACTGGACTTTGGTGTTACATTGTTCTCACACAACCGAACCAAATAAAACTATGTAACTAGAGAATTGTATTGTAAACCTGATTGAAGAAGAGTAACCTATGAAGTTTGTAGCTCGTTCTTCTCCATAGGATTCTACAACTTGGAATGAGTAAAGAGCTTCACTTGTAAAGAGCTTCAACTTAATTTTTTGTTTGACGTTCAAAAGTGTCTTTCTGGTCTAATAATGATTTTGACTTTGACTATATCAATCTAGTTTAGATGCAGTGTTACGTAAATAATTAAAACCTTTTACCTGTACAATAATTAACTCTAGAAATACAAAACTCAAACTAAAATTA